TGGGGCCCCCGGGCGCGGCCGGGACGAGCCTCCGGAGAGCTACCCTCAACGACAGGACCACGAACTACAGGCCCTGGAGGCCATCTACGGCGCGGACTTCCAAGACCTGCGGCCGGACGCTTGCGGACCGGTAGGAACGTGGCTTGTCAGGCCCGGGCTGGTGTGCCCTGGCCTCCCCCGGCCCTGGGCCAAAGCCCAGACACTTCCAGATAGGACCGCCGCTTTAAGATCCTGCAGTCTTTCGTCCCTCAGGTTCCACCCATGCTCACTTTTAGTTCTTGCACCTGCAGCTGGTCTCCAGAACCCCACCTAGGCCGAATTCTTCCACAGCCCTTTCCCCATGATTTCCCCAGAGGAATTCCCAGGGATTCCTCTCTCTTACCTGACACTGCTTCTTATTCCTGCCTACATCCCGTAACATATCTGCCTCCTTCCAACCTTGTGCTTTTTCCCCCTTGAAAGCCCTCGCAGATGATACAACAGCACATTCATACGCACCCGTTGCTACTTTGTTCTGAGAACGCTTTTTGGGCGCTCGCACAGGCCTTAACGTCCTCAATCAGAATTCTCGTTTCATCCATGCATTCAGATCTGCACGCCGCATAATTCCCGCTGTACTCCCCAGGTATCCTCACTGTGTTTTCCGATACGGAGGAACTTTGCATACGTCTGCACCTTCCTCTAAGACATGTAGCTCAGAATGTAGCACACATTCATCTTAGCTGTAGTGGAGAGAGGGTTCTAGACTGAGTCTAGAGCAGGAGTGTCCAATCTTTTGGCTTCCCCGGGCCACAAAAAATACACTAACGATAGCTGATAATCTAAAAAAAAAAAAAATCGCAAAAAACCCTCAATGTTTTAAGACAGTTGACGAATGTGTGTTGGGCCACATTCAACGCCATACAGGGCTGCATGCGGCCCATGGGCCTTGGGTTGAACCAGCTTGCTTCAGACTTTTTAAAATGGCATTTTGTTTAAAATATTATTTTGCCTTTAAAATATTATTTTGACTTTTTGTCTGGAAATTAAGGCACATTATAAATTATTTATACTGACAGTTTTTTCCCCATCCTTGAAGAGTTGATCTACCAAACTGTTTCTGAATGTTATATTATCATTTAAAACATACTTCTAACTTCATCTGCTTTTTTTTTTTTTTTTGAGACAGGGTCTTGCTCTGTCACCCAGGCAGGAGTGCAGGAGCATGATCACGGCTCACTGCAGCCTATTCTCAAGCAGTCCTTCTGCCTCAGCCTGTCAAGTAGCTGGGACTACAGGCACATGCCACTACACCTGGTTAATTTTTTAAATTTTTTATAGAGACAGAGTCTTGCTCTGTTACCCGGGCTGGTATCAAGTTCCTGAGCACATGCAATCCTCTCACCTTGGCCTCTGAAAGTGCTGGGATTACAGACGTGAGCCACCGCGCCTGGCCTCTTCATCTGCTTTTAACTCTGGCATTTCATAACATCTGCTTTATCTGCACATCCAGGATTTCCTCAAGAAATACCATCTGCTGGAGCTATCAGGGCAAAATATTCTCCCTCAAACTCAGGGTTCTTCTTCCTTCATGAAATTTGTTTTAGGCGTTAGGAATACAGCTGTGGGCAAAACAGACAAAAATCCTTGCCCTCAGGGAGCTTACTTTTCTAATGCTTAATATGAAGTTATTTGTAACCTGAAATAGTAAAAGTATAAATATTCCCCTTAACATGACAGAGAAGTTGGTGATTGGGCAACTTCAATGTTCCCAAACATTGAGAATCAGGAAGTAGGCCCAACAGGCAGCCAAAATAGTGTCTCGAAGTGTACACCAGACTCAACACAAAGTCCCTAAGGCTTCGTTCTGAACCAGTTTGTTTACTTTATACAAGCTTAGTTGTCTGCTCCTAGGGCTGCAGAAAAATGGAAGAAAAAAAGCAACTTCTTTTAGGTCAGGATATTGGTAACCCCAAGAATTTATAGCTGGTGGCTTTCATAACAAGATGAAAGATTAGACAAACCAAAGCAAAAACTATAGAAGGCAGGCAGGAGAATTTAAATAGCTGTCTGTGGCCTGTTGTACACAGGGCAAATGGCCTCAACCATTCATAGGCCCGGCAGGCAAGTAATTGATGGTCTCAAGGATGAATCAGAGTTTAGTCATTCAACAAGCACTTATTATCACCTACTATTTGCCAGGGAAAAGTGATGCAGGTCCGAAATCCTTTATCCACAACTCTTTATTGAGAGGGAGTTTCTCTCTGTCACCCAGGCTGGAGTGCAGTGGTGCGATCTCAGCTCATTGCAACCTCCACCTCCCAGGTTCAAGCGATTCTTGTGCCTCAGCCTCCCAAGCAGCTGGGATTACAGGTGTCTGCCTCCACACTTGACTAATTTTTGTATTTTTAGTAGAGACAGAGTTTCATTATGTTGGCCAGGCTGGTCTCGAACTCCTGACCTCAAGTGATCCTCCCGCCTTGCCTCCCAAAATGCTGGGATTACAGGTGTGAGCCACCATGCCCAGCCTTTTATCCAAAACTCTTGAGACTTGATGGGTTTCAGAACTCAGAAGTGCTTCTGTTCACGTTTTTGTGTGCACATTACACACGTTACCTAATGCCTTCCTCAGTGTCTGGGGCAGCATTGAAAATCAAACACAATGAAACGTAGAAATACTCAAATTTCACACTGAACAGATAAACACTATTACTAACCTCATGTTAGTTCAGGCTAAATTTACTGCCAATAAATTCAGGTTAGATTTTTTTTTCCAACTTCTTTTAGTGGGGATGTGTTGTAATATAAATTTCAGTTTAGTAGCGTATGTATATCATTTATAAATAACATTTTGAGGTGCATGCTAAAAACTTTTGCATTTGTAAAAAGTTTGGATACTGCCAGTTTAAAGTATCTATAATTTATAGATAGTTACAAATTGCTAACTTATTTTGGCTAGCTTTCCACAACAGCAAAAGGTCTGCTCATTTATAATTGGATAGCTTTTAGAAACATCCCTCCAAAAAACTTGCTTCAATCCCTGGATCCGCCAGTAGTGTATGGTGGTGTTTGTTTTCCTTTATCTTCAACAATACTATATGTGTTAGACTGTTTCATCCTTGCCAGGTAAAGGAAACATATCTCATTTTAATTTTTATTTATTTATAAATTATCTAGAACACCTTTGTTTACAAACCATTGATTTTTCTTTTCCTGTGAACTGCTCATGCTCTTTGGTTTACTCTTCCACCCTGTGGTCCATTTTCTTGTTTATTTGTAAGAACTAAATATCGTAAGAAAATTAGCATTTTGGGTCTATCATGCATATATTTTCTCCTAATCATATGCATTTATTTACGTAATTTATGTGATTTTTTAAATGTGAATAGAGTCAAAATGACTTATTTTTTTGTGTTATGGTCCCTGTGGGGTTTTTTTTTCCCCCTCTGCTCCAATGTTACTAAAAACCAAATTCTTCAAAGTTTACTTTCAACTTGTTCATGACTTCGTTTTTAAATTTTCACCAAATAAAGATATAAGTAGTTTTTTTTTTAAATTCTTCTTTCCATCGAAGTATGGGCCTAGGCCACCTCCCCGTGTGCATCCTTCCTCTTCCTGCTAAGCAGCTAGACAAATACAGGCAGTTGAATTTTTCATTGTCTTCCACTCATTTGAAATGCCATTCCTACAAGCCCAATGCCTGGTAAAACAAACAAAAAACTTTCTAAAATTGTTATTGAATGAAATAATTCTCAAATGTATTTTGAGTCTCTTTTTTTCCTTGTCTGGAATGCTTGGTCTCTGGCTTATCTTAGCTTCAATGCTACATCCTGCTACCTCCTCAGATAGTTCTTTGATAACCACATTTAATTACATACCCTCACACCCGAAGTCATTCGCTAAGGAGAGCACCACGTCATCTCTTCAACAGCACTCTCTAAACTTGCACTTATATGTTTATGATGTTTGTTTTCCCCCACCAGACTGAAGTTCCTTGAGAGCAGGAACCATATCCGTGTTCTCACCTCTGTGGACTAAGCACAGTGCCTGACACAGAGTCAGTGCTTAACAAATGTGGGTGATGGATGTGTGATGGGTGAATGAGTGGATGCAAGGGCTGTGGACCAAAGAGTGCCTAACCCTGCTGGGACCACATTTGCAGAATTATGCTTTATGGAAGGACCCACACATTTATCAAGGATTATTATAAAGTCGTATAAGAAGTGATCTTATGAAATTTGTACACATAGTAGAAGAGAACAGTGTTTATTATATGGTACTCCTCGTAAGGTTCATGTTATAAATTTCTGTTAGCATTTAGTGTTGCTAAGTACTTTGCTTCCCTGAAATAATTTTTGGGTTTTCTCTTTTCTGATGATACCACGTTTCTCTTTTTGCCCCGCCTGCCAGGACATTCCGAGAAAAAAATCAAGGCTCAATCCCAGCAACTTAGGATGGCATAATAAAAGAGTGGCTTATGGGAGGAGACAGGGTTTGGAGTCAAGGCGGGTTTGAATCCCAGCTCTGTCCCTGTGTATCTGTGGGCAAGAATGTAAAACTCCCTGAACCTGAGCTTCTGTATCTGTAAAATGGAGATGGCACCTGCCTTGCAAAGTTGGTAAGGTGCCTGGGCCATGGGAGTGCTCAGCCATTATTTTTTCTCTCAAGACTCCCCTTTTTCATTATATACATAGAATATGAACTACTTCAAACCCACTTTGGAAAAAGGGTATATAAGTTGAAGAACAAGGGTATTTGGTGATTTGATGAAAAGCAGTTGATTGAAAACATGCAGTTCTGTCCTTGTCAAGGGTTTTCATTTGTTAATATCTCAGTATTCAGATCTCAATTAAAATCTCCCCTGCTCACAGAGGCCTTCCCTAACCCACCTGTCTGGATATCTTCTCCTTACCCACCACTGTGTCCCTCTACTCTGCTTTGTTTTCTTTACAGCACTCATCACTATTTGAAATCACTTGTCTTCTAGTTTGTATCAGCTGGTTGGGACTGTGTCTGTCTAAATTTACCTCTGCACTCCCAGCTTCCCGGAGAGCACCCAGACATAATAACTCAGTAACATCTGAATGAATGGAAGCTGAGTGGAACATTTTGGTTCGTTCCTTAGATAACTTAAAAAAGGAAAATGCATTTTCTCTGGCTCAGGTTTTTTTAAAAAATCATGCTTTTGGAAAGTATGCCAGATTATCTATGTAAAATATAATTGCAAATATTTTTAAAGTAGAACTTTTGATCTAAAATGATCATTATCTTAATCATTAATGATTGGCTCTACAGCTATGAAAAAAAGTTTTTGTTTTTCCTCTTTTAGGTCAAAGAGCCCCCTGAAATCAATTTAGTTTTGTACCCCCAAGGCCTAACTGGTGAAGAAGTATATGTAAAAGTGGATTTGAGGGTTAAATGTCCACCTACCTATCCAGATGTGTGAGTACATTTATAAATAACTTTGACATGGTTTCAGTTTTCTGTTTTGACAACATAGAAACAGATTGAAATTAGTAGTATTTTCTCCTTCCTGCTCCCATTCCACATAAAATTTCATTTCCTATATTTCAACAAAACTACATCAGCAATAGATGTTTTCATGAAACCTGTCTCATTTTAAGCCTGTTTGTAGCTATAGAATTGTCACTGCAGATACTAATATTTGCCCAGTGACTATTTTGCTTCCTTTGATGTGTTAACTTTTGTTTATTTATTTCTTCATAAGTTAGGAAGAGGAAAAATTTGGAAGAAAACGATAGAGGCATGGTGACTATTGAAAGTACTTACATAGTTAGAGTATGGTTGTATTAGAAACTCAGCAAGTCTGTGCCTGAGATGACCTTTCGCTGCCTAGAGTGAGGGAGAGTATTTGGAGCTGTGCTTCCTCTCAGTGGGGCACTGCTGGCGAGTGTCCATCGTACAGGGCTGTGCCATGCACTGCAGGATGCTTAGCATCCCTGGCCCCCACCTACCAATGCCACGAGTGTCCTCCAGGCATTGAAACAACCAAATAACCTGCATATTTCCAAATTCCCCCTGAAGGCGACGTCACCTCTGGTTGAGAACTTTTAGTTAGAGACGGGATTTCACTGTGTTAGCCAGGGTGGTCTTGATCTCCTGCCCTCGTGATCCGCCTGCCTCGGCCTCCCAAAGTGCTGGGATTACAGGCGTGAGCCACTGCACCCAGCCAGCCATCAGCCCTTAAGTATGTATATTTGGTGTAATCTTTCCCCATACATCCCACATGCAAAGGCAGGTTGGCCTGGATGGCGTTAAGTAGTTTGAACTTACTGGATGGGGAACCAGTGAAGGTTTCTGAGAAGGAAAGGGACAAATAAAAGGAAACTCTGCTTTACACAGTGGGTGGTAAATTTATGGAATTTATTATCCTAAGAAGTGATAGGGAGGATATGAAAAGACGGATAGGTCAGAATTGAGCTCCTTGAAGTCAGTAACCGTTCTTAGCCCCCAAAACTGTACTGAGAGTATTATAGTAGGTATACTATACCTACTATAAAAATATTAATGAAGCATTAATGGAAAATGATCATTAAAAATTTATGAAAGGAAATTCAGACAGTGCCTCTCTAGGTTTTTTTTTTTTCCTGACACCAAATACATTATGCCTTTTCTGATACCGTGTGGGTGTCCAATAGTTCAGTTCAATTCTGATATTATCTGTAGTTAGCATAGACTCAGATTAAGGACTCAGTTCCACAAGATTGCCTCCATTTCTGATGCTAGTTGCAAGTCCCAATACTTCTGACCATTTATAGCCAGTATTTATAACTGGCTATAAATTTGGGGGTTTCCACCGCCCCCTCCTAAGTTGCCATAATTGCTAGAATGCGTCACAGAACTCAGTTTCTGTGAGTTACATTTACCAGTTTGTCATAAAGGATACGGCTGCGGAATAGCCACATGGAAGAATTATGAAGGGTAAGGTGTGTGGGAAGAGGCACAGAGCTTCCATACCCTCTTCAGGCATGGCACCCTCCCAGCACCTCCCTGTGTTCTTCAACCACGAATCTCCCTGAACCCTGTCGTGTAGGGGTTTTTACGGAGGTTTCATTATGTAGAGATGATTGATTAATTAAATCTTTGGCTGCTGGTGATTGAACTTGATCTTCAGCCCTCTACTCCTCCCCAAAGATCTGGGATGGGACTGAAATTTCTCACCCTGTAATCAAGGCTTAGTTTTTCTGGTGACCAGTCCTGATCCTGAAGCTACCCAGGTACTGACCAGAGTTACCTCATGAGCCCTAACTCCAGTATGGTTGGAAGGGATTTGTTATGAAAAACATAAGATGCTCTTCTCACCCCTGTTGCTCAGGAAATTCCAAGGGTGATAGGATCTCTGTGCCAGGAACAGGGATCAAGACCAAATATATAATTTTTTATTATACCATAGCCTCAAGAATTCAAAGTGTTTATTCTTGAAAAATCAAAATAAAGAAAAAGTTATATGTGCTATAATGTTATACATATATAAGTGCTAAAATATTAATTATAGCATTATTTGTGAAAGTAAAGCAATTGGAAGCAGTCTAAATGTCAAACACTAGAGTGAGGTTTCTTCAGCTTGGCAATACTGACATGTGGGCAGTTGTTGTGGGGGCCGTCCTGGGCTTCGTGGGATATTTAGTAGCATCCCTGACCTCTGTCTGCTAGATGTTGGGAGTACATTTCTCCCCAGGTTGTGACAATCAAAAAAAGTCTCTAGATGTTGACAGATATCCCCTGGGGCCAAAATCACCCCTGGTTAAGAATCATGGCACTAGATAACTATTCAGGTAAATCTTAATGTGTCCACTTGATAAAAATATTATGGGATGATTGTTTTTAACATTGAAATGCTGATAAAAAGTTAAAAAGCAAGCATTATAATATCAGCTACATAAACTATGAATTATATGGCAAGGAAATAAAGAGAACATTAGAATTTTCTTTGAAGTTTAATTAGCATCATTGATGAATTTTTCACCATTCTGTTAATATTGCTGTATAATGATTACTTATTTTTTAAATTATGACAAAAAGCTTAATTTAGGGTAATATTCTTACCCTTTTGAATACAGTACAGGAAAACATTGCTTTTCTGCAGAATAGTCCTTGATACTACTGTGAAAGAGAGACTCCTGGGTTAGATTCTGGAATTCTGGAAATTTCAGCCCTATCCCAGACCTTTGGGGAGGAATTCTGGAAATTCTAAATTCTGGAAATTTCAGCCCCATCCCAGCTCTTTGGGGAGGGAGGAATCTAACCCTGGATTCCATACGTAGACTGAGGACTGTATGGTTGGTTTTTCTATTCTTTCCCTCATATAAACTACTTTCTGTCAAGTTTTATCTACAGAAATAGATAATGATCATAGCACCCTGTCATACTGAAGCATTGAGAGAACGCATAGATAAGTGCATACTCAAGACTTCACGGGGTGAAATGCCATGAATTACTCAGAAATGCTTGGTAAAAAGTGATGAGTCATCATCTCTTCAGTTAAAATTAAATAACTCCTATTTAATCTCAGAGAGTTGTTATTGGATATTTATTGGTTGGGAATGAAATGAAATCCGAGGGCTGGTTGTGTAATTTCCTTGAGTTGAAAATGTTGACTTAGATGAGCTCTAGGCAGAGTTGCAGAGAGTGTACATGACTAGATGTATTTATACACAGGAAGTGAGCATTTCCACCTTGTTTCCATCAGAATGAGTGATTGGGATGCAGCAGTGTGTTGTGGGAATACTAGAGGGATCGCCAGGGCTCCGTCTCACCTAGTTATTCTTGTTCTGCTTTATGCTAGAGCACACCTGAGTGCAGAGCACTTGGCCTTGCCAGTGAGCTGTCAGAGCTAGGTTAATTCACATCGGCTGCAAGCTAGGGTAGAGAATTACCATACAGAGGAGCACATGGTTAAGTTACTAGGCTAGAGTCAGCCACAGAACTGGAATGATTTTTTTTGTTTGTTTGTTTTTTAAGCGAAGAACTCAGAGTTAGGGATCCAGGGCAAATCATAGGAAATAAATAGTAATTGATGTTGGGAAATTTCAATCGGCTTGTAAAGCTGAAATTAGATACAGGGGTCAAGGAAGTCTGACAGCTCAGACAGAAGGCTTTGGCCAGCCCACTTCTTCCCTGTAGGATGCAGGTGACTCCACTGTGTCAACTGGAGTTGCAGGGATATGTTGAAGTCCCTTTGAGATTAAGGACCTCAGGCCCAGAGTGCTTTCAGTTTAGCAAATATTGATGCAAACAGGCTATACTTTCTGGAGTAACTCTTTTTTGTTTTTTTTTTTTTTTTGCCTTTTCCAGAGTTCCTGCAATAGAGTTAAAAAATGCCAAAGGTCTATCAAATGAAAGTGTTAATTTGTTAAAATCTCGCCTAGAAGAACTGGCCAAGAAACACTGTGGGGAGGTAAGATTTGTTAAACTGGAATTAAGACAGTAAACTTCCCCATTGCACCTCAAATCCAATTTTGAGTAGCATGTTTTGTGTTTTATTGGTTCTACAAAAGGGAACATTGTGATTTTTATTTATTTAATAGGATTAATGAAATGTGTAGTCTATAGATGGTACTGTTGATGCTGAAGAATGTTTCTGAAAACATTCAGAAACATGGGCCCCATCCCATGTCGGGGATGGTGGCTCACACTTGTAATTCCAGCACTTTGGGAGGCTGAGGTGGGAGGATCACTTGAGTCCAGAAGTTTGAGGCCAACCTGAGCAAAATGGCGAGCACTTGTCTCTAAAAAATTTACTGAGTGTGGTGGTGTATGCCGATAGTGCAAGCTACTCAGGAGGCTGAGGTGGGAGAATTGCATGAGCCCAGGAGTTTGAGGTTACAGTGAGCTATGATCACACCCCTTCACTCCAGCCTGGGCCATAGAGCAAGATCCTGTCTCTTAAAAATAAAAAAAGAAGAATTTTTCTGAAAACAGTTGATGTGAACCCAGCCACACTTTTTGTACACTTTGGATCTGGCATCATGACTTGATCTTGACTTGAACCTTTTTGTTGGAAAAATGCATCAGACAAGCAATTTCTGACTGCCTCTCCCCTTTGCATATCAGAGGAATTTGTTGTTTTCTTTCTCGATAATTAGCAACACACTCTACTCCTTCAATGTCTATCATATACCTGAGCATTTACACTGAGTTCAGTACTCATTCTTTTTTAATCTGCTGAACATTAGGATCTACATATGAGTTCTCTCTTGGGTGGCACAGCTCTCTCTGGAAGGCAAGACTAAGTGTCTTCTGGAGGCAGAGTATGGCTGTGCTTTCCTTAGGCCAGACCAGTTCCCTCGAAGTATAACACTTGTTTGCCTCACTTTTGTGTAAAATCACTCAGTGTTTTTACCTGGCAGCTCATGCTTAACGATCCCTTTATGTGAAAGCTGGGAAGAGGTGCCCTCGGCTTCCATGTCTGTTTCAGACTTTTATTAGAGATAACCACAGGTAACATTCACCTCACAGAAAGTAACTGGACAGATTTTTACTTGCTTTTCATAACACAATGAGTCATAGTACAATCCATGGACTGCCTTTTAGCTGTAAAAATTGTGTCCATTGAAGTTGCTGCTTCCAAGAACTTCAGTGATTAATGAGATATAGAAAGTGAGTGTAGAACAGCCTGGATTAAAAAACTAGGCCTTGGGAATGATTCCAAAGTTCTTTCTAGTATACGGGACTCCAGTGTCTAACTGAAAAATAATATTAAGTTATATGGAAAATTCAACTACAGAGAAACTTCTGGTTTCCTGGATTTTTGATTTGTGTTTAATTTTTTTTTTTTTTTGAGAGACAAAGTCTCACCGTCTTGCCCAGGCTGGTCCCAAACTCCTGGCTCAAGCAATCCTCCTACCTCAGCCTCCCAAAGTGCTAGGATTACAGGCCCAAGCCACCACACCCAGCCTGATTTAAATTTTTATTTTGAGATAATTACATATTTATATATACCTCTTACCCAGTTTGCCCCAACAGTAACAGTTTGCTGCACTGTAGTACAATGTCATAACCAGGATATTGACATTGATACAATCAAGATACAGAATATTGTTCTCACCACAAGGATCTCTCATGTTGCCCTTCTGCAGCCACTCCCTAAACTCTACCCTCTCCACATCTGCATTGCTCCTTGGGTCCTAAGGCCCTAGCCAGTGTGCTTTCTACTCTTTACCTTTCAGGGTCATCTTACACTTGTTTTATTTGTAATGTCCGGGGTTTTTTAGTTGTATTTGGTAGAAGGAATAGGAAAAAGTAGGTATACTCCATCTTCCCAGAAGTGGAAGTCCTGATTTGTGATTTTTAATATTTACTATGTTCCCAGTAACTAGTAAGAGTCCCATGCCTTTCCTGTCTGTTCCACTACAGCTGCCTTTTGTGAAGGGAACATGTCGTGATTATTAAAAGAGGCAGAAACTGGTAAAGACATAGTAGTTTTGTACCCCAGTGTTTATAGCAGCGTTATTCACAAGAACGAAAAGGTGGAAACAACCCTGGGTCCACTGACAGGTGCATGGATAAACAAAATGTGGTATATACATATAAGGGAATATCATTCAACCTTAATAAGGAAGGAGGTTCTGACACGTGCTACGAAATAAATGAACCTTGAGGACATTATGCTAAGTGAAAGAAGCTGGTAACAAAAAGGCAAACACTATATGCTTCCACTTACATGAGGTACCTTGAGTAGTCGAGTTCACAGAGGCAGAAAGTAGAACAGTGGTTGCTAGGAGCTATGGGGAGGAGAGAATGGAAAGTTATTTAATGAGTACAGTTTGAGAAGAAGAAACAGTTCTGGAAATGGATGATGGAGATGGTTGTACAACAATGTGAATGTACTTAATGCTACTGAACATATATTTAATGGTTAAAATAGTAAATATGCTGTGTACATTTTGCCACAATTTAAAAAACACAGGCGTACCTCTAATTGTGCTTTACTTTATTACATTTCACAGATTATTGTGCTTTTTACAAATGGAAGGTCTGTGGCAACCCTGCATTGAGCAAGTCTATCAGTGTCATTTTTCCAAACAGATGTGCTCACTTCATGTCTCGGTGTCACATTTTGGTAGTTTTCACAATGTTTCAACTTTTTCATTATTACTATATTTGTTTTGATGATCTGTTATCCATGACCTTTGATGTTACTATTGTAATTGTTTTGGGGCACCATAGACTCTGCCCATGTAGACAGCAAAGTTATTTGATCAATGTTGTGTGTGTTCTAACTACTGACCAGCCATTCCCCTCTCTCCCTCCCTCTCTTCTTGGGCCTCCCTATTCCCTGAGACACAGAAATATTGATATTAGCCCAATTAATAACCATACAATAGCCTTAAATGTTCAAATAAAAAGAAAAGTTGCATGTCTATCTTTAAATCAAAAGCTAGAAATGATGAGGTTTAGTGAGGAACGCTGTTAAAAACCAAGATAGGCCAAAAGGCCTCTTACACTAAACAGTTAGCCAAGTTGTGAATGCGAAGGAAAAGTTCTTGAAGGAGAATAAAAGTGCTACTCAAGTGAACACGTGAATGATAAGAAAGCAAAACAGCTTTATTGCTAATATGGAGAAAGTTTTAGTGGCCTGGAAAGAAGATTAAATTAGCCGCCACATTCCCTTATGCCAACGCATAATCTGGATCAAGGCCCTAACTGTCTTCAATTCTGTGAATGCTGAGAAGAGATGAGGGAGCTGCAGAAGAAAAGTTAAAAGGTAGCAGAGCTTGGTTCCTGAGGTTTAAGGAAAGAAGCCATCTTCATAACATAAAAGTGCAAGGTGAAGCAGCATGTGGTCATGAAGAAGCTTCAGCAAGTTATCCAGAAGATCTAAGATAATTGATAAAGTTAGCTACAGATTTTCAGTGTAGATGAAACAGTCTTATATTGGAAGAAGATGCCATCTGGGATTTTCACAGCTAGAGAGGAGAAGTCAATGTGTGGCTTCAAAGCCTTATTAAAGGACAGACTGACTTTCTTGTTAGGAGCTAATACAGTTGCTGACTTTTCAAAAGTTGAGGCCAGTGCTCACTTACCATTCCAAAGTTCTAGGACCCTTAAGAATTTTGCTAAATCTCCTTTGTCTTTATAAATGGAAAGGCAAAGCCTGTATGATGGCACATCTGTTACAGCAGGGTTTACTGAGTATTTTAAGACCATTGTTGAGACCTACTGCCCTGAAGAAAAAAGATTCCCGTTAAAATATTATTGCTCATTGACAGCACACCTAGTCACCCAAGAACTCTGATGGAGATGTACAAGGAGATTATTGTTGTTTTCATGCCTGCTAACACAACATCCATTCTGCAGCCTGCGGTTAAAGGAGTCATTTTGACTTTCAAGTGTTACTATTTAAGAAATACATTTTACAAACTTATAGCTGCCATAGATAGTGATTCCTTTGATCTGATGTATCTTAGCAAAGTAAATGGAAAACCTTCTGGAAAGGATTCACCATTCCAGGTGCCATTAAATACATGATTTATGGAAAGGGGTCAAAATATCAACATGAACAGGAGTTTGGAATATGATTCTGACCCTCATGGATGACTTTGAGGGGTTCAATACTTCACTGGAAGAAGTAACTGCAGAAGTGGTGGAAATATCAAGAGGACTATTACTAGAATTAGAAGTGGAGCCTGAAGATGTGACTGATTTGTTGCAACCTCATGATAAAACTTTAACAGATGATTAGTTGCCTCTTATAGATGAGCAGGGAAAGTGGTTTCTTGAGTGGTTCCTGAAGATGCTGTGAACATTGTTGAAATGACAATCGAGCATGTAGAATATTTCATAAACTTTGTTTTGAAGCAGCAGCAGGGTTGGAGAGGATTGACCCCAACTTTGAATGAAGTTCAACCGTGACTCAAAGCTATCAAACAGCATTGAATGCTACAGAGAAATCTTCCATGAAAGGAAGAGTCAATCGGTGCAGCAATCTTCATTGTTGTCTTCTTTTAAGAAATTGCCGCAACCACCCCAGCCTTCACCAGCCACACCCTGATCAGTCAGCAGCCGTCATCAAGATAAAACCCTCTGTCTGCAAAAAGATTATGTCATCCTAAAGGTTCAGATGATCATTTGTATTTCTTAGCAATAAAGCATTTTAAAATTGAGGTATATACATTGATTTCTACAGACATAATGCTATTTTACACCTAATAGACTACCATACAGTATCAACATAACTTTTTTTTTTTTTTTTTTTTGATACGGAGTCTTACTCTGTCGCCCAGGCTGGAGTGCAGTGGCCGGATCTCAGCTCACTGCAAGCTCCGCCTCCCGGGTTTACGCCATTCTCCTGCCTCTCCCGAGTAGCTGGGACTACAGGCGCCCACCACCTCGCCCGGCTAGTTTTTTGTATTTTTTAGTAGAGACGGGGTTTCACCGTGTTAGCCAGGATGGTCTCGATCTCCTGACCTCGTGATCCGCCCATCTCGGCCTCCCAAAGTGCTGGGATTACAGGCTTGAGCCACCGCGTCCGGCCAACATAATTTTTATATGCACTGGGAAACCAAAAACTTTGTGTGACTTACTTTATTGTGACATTTGCTTTATTGAAGTGGTCTGAGACTGAACCTGCAATGTCTCCGAGGGCCGCCTGTGCTAGCGTTCATCTGAGTCATCGTCATATAATGAGATTTGAATGGACATTAAACATGGGAAGGCACTGCGCAAATCACTCTTCTTGTTTATCTAAAATTCGTTTCCATTAAGTCTGAAGTACTGGAAAGTCTAAAATAGACATAATTCTAAAGAAATTGTTTTTATTTTCAAGTAAAATAGAGTATAATTAGGTACTAAAGCATGGCATAGGGATTCATTGCGGTATGGCATTCACTGAAACTTGCCTTTTAAAACTAGGAGTCATTTAATTATTTGAATGGAAGTAAGTACTCAAAAACAGCCTATTCTTAAGCACTTCCAATTGCTTATAATTTTTAATCTATATACAGCTCTTTGTCATGTAAAAGTAAACTTAAATATACTCTATTTTTTCAAATTTTTAAAGCCAAGTTTATTTTTTTATTAAGTTATTCGACAAATATTTATTGTCTGTGTACCATGTGTCAAGTGCTATTCCAGCACTGGGAAAACCACAGTGAGCAAACCACACCGTGGGCTGCCGTGAGAAGGGAACAGACAGAAGGCAGTCAAATAACTGCACAACCAACCAGGCAGTTATAAGTGCCATGAAGAAAATCAGGGAGGGGGGTCTAGAGAGTGTGACGGTGGAGTGGCTGTTCTTTACAAGGCGTTCAGGAGAGGCCTTCAAGACTTGAGCAGAGGTCTGAAGGAGGCCAGTGAGCCCTGTAGCACCAGGCAAGTAGGAGGCAAGAGCCAGTTTGGAAAGCATTCTTTTCATCCAGTCTTAGAAGGTTTATCAGATCGATTTGTACAGAAAACTCTAGCAAAGTAAATAGAACAGCAAAAGAAAAACCCTCCACAGCTTGGCTTCTGCCTTCTTTTTGGTTTAGAAGTGGTTTCTCTTTGACATGATAGAAATTGCCTACTTTCCCCAGCTTTCCTTAGAAGAGCTTTTCTTAGAATAACCTGCCTCTTAGACTGTAGACTAGTGTTTCTGACTCTAAAGTGAAATATATCCAGTAAATGCCACAGCTTCTGGTGTAAGAAAAAATGCATTAACATCACCCAACAAGAGCTGTGCTTTCTTTGTATTTGCTCCCCAAGAGAAAGGCAGGATACTAAATGAACTAACTTTATATTTTTGTGTACAATGACTTCTATTATTATTTACCACCCTGTTAAGTCCCTTTAGAAATGGTTTCAAACATATAATGAAAATAAGAGTTTTAAAATTGCTTCATTGTAACTGAGGGAAAAAAATCTCAGTGTTATGTTTCTCATCTGCAGAAGGATTGGCACTCTTTACCTCTTTGGGGTTGGGTAATCACTGAGGGAGGGGTCTCAGAAACCTTTATTCCGTTGATTTATCAACCCAAGTATGACTTGCGTCTCCTGGGGGTAAGGGAAAGGGGCTTCCTATGTTCACATAAAGAATGTGTGAAAGGGAGACCATTTTCTTCCTCATTCTAGATGTGAATGCTTCTGTAAGTGGAAATAAAGTGCTTTCTAAGTATTTATCAGCCTCTTATATAAAATACTTTCTAAGTATTTATCAGCTTCTTACTGAAACATTACTAGCAAGGAGATAATGAGGCCTTTAAATATTTGCCTCTGTTCTTCCAACAGAATATTTTCAGTATGTTGCATAGACAGATAAAGCTCTGATGTTAGCAATGAGTATTCTCTGCCCAACTCTCATTATGTAGACAGGTTTTCTAGTTGGGAAGACAGCTTTTACTTTCATTCAGTCTTAAATGTTTTATCAGATTTATTTCTAAAGAAAAATTTTTTTTGGATTTATTATAGAGAAAATGCCAATAAGTTGAATAGGTCTACAAAAGAAAAGTGAAGCTTTTTATTTACCTAGGTAATCATCTGTCTTGATAATAACACAATGCAATGGGCCCTTTAAAAGCTTTTTCCTGCTGTGATTGTCTCATATACCAAATTCAGAATATGTCATATTGAAAAGAATAATAGCATTCTAAGTGGGCCTCTGACTGCCGATTTGCTTTCCCGTTCTGTAGCCTCTCCTGTTTGGGCCTTCCCATTGTTTGATCATTTGTGGTTGATTTTTATGCGTTTAGGTGATGATCTTTGAACTGGCTTACCACGTGCAGTCATTTCTCAGTGAGCATAACAAGCCCCCTCCCAAGTCTTTTCACGAAGAAATGCTGGAAAGGCGGGCTCAGGAGGAGCAGCAGAGGCTGTTGGAAGCCAAACGGAAAGAAGAGCAGGAGGTGAGATACCCTTGTCCATGTCTGTGTGCATGCCAGCCTGGAGAATTGCAAACTACTGTAGGTTTCATCTGTCTCTGCCTACAAACTTATCTTTAAGTTTTGCCCAACCTTTCATTCAAGAAAGGTAGATACATGTGAGAGTATGAAAAAGTGAGCCAGACGTGGTGGCTCACATCTGTAATCCCAGCACTTTGGGAGGCCAAGGCGGGCGGATCACAAGGTCAGGCGATCAAGACCATCTTGGCTAACACGGTGAAACCCCGTCTCTACTAAAAATACAAAAAAGATTAGCCAGGCATGGTGACGGGCACCTGTAGTCCCAGCTACTTGGGAGGCTGAGGCAGGAGAATGGTGTGAACCTGGGAGGCGGAGCTTGCAGTGAGCCGAGATCACGCCACTGCACTCCAGCCTGGGCCGCAGAGCAAGACTCCATCTCAAAAAAAAAGTAATATGAGTGATTCCCTTCTGACACTTATCAATACTGCCCCTTAGAGCCCTCAGTCCAGGTCTTAAAGAAATAAAAGAGAAGAGAAAAGAAGCTGTTTAACCAAACCACCTGTGGTCTTTTGGAGCTTGTGAGGGTGTACAGGAATTCACTGTGTTTTAGAGGCTATTTTCTTCTTCCCTGTGCGAGACAAGTATCTCATGCCCAAATGAGTAGCAAAAGTCAGATAATAAATTTTTTGTTCAAACATTTAGATGTATATATTATCTTTGATTTAAAGGATTTTAAAAATAAGACAGTTTACATCCTTATGCAAACAGATTAAAGAAAAAATACAAATGGTTACCGTTTGTATTTAAATCAAAGATAATATATGCATCTAAATGGTTACCATTTGTATTTTATAAACTCCTGTTTATATCCTATGCTGACAGTCTAAAACTTTGTTTAAATACAGGTTTGTTTAAATACAAATAGTTGCCATTTGTATTTAAATCAAAGATAATATATACATCAAATGGTTACCATTGGTATTTTTCTTTAATTTGTTTGCATAAGGATATAAACTCCTGCCTTATTTTTAAAATCTTTTAAATCAAAGATAATATATGCATCTAAATTTCCTTTTTGATTTTAATTTATTTTTCCAAATGTTTAAATTTATATTTGTTTTTTCTATTTAGTACCTTAATCAACTTATCTAGAGCTTATTTTGATTCAGGTTATTAAAAAAAGCCTAAGTATATTTTTCTTAGGCATTTTCCTAACACATTTATTAAATAATAATTCTTTAAGTGATTCGTAATACTTCCTTTATATGTTTAAAAATAGTTTAATGTATTTTAATATTAATAGCAAACTTGCAAGAACTGCATAGAAGACAGATAACGTTAAAAACATGTACTTCCATGTAGGACAACTCAGTTAGAAAAGTATAGTGAGGCCAGTTGTGGTGTCTCACGCCTGTAATCCCAGGACTTTGGGAGGCTGAGGCAGGCGGATCACTTGAGGCCAGGAGTTCGAGACCAGCGTGGCCAACGTGGCAAAACCCTATCTCTACTAAAAATTAAAAAATGAGCCGGGCGTGGTGGCTCACACGTGTAATCCCAGCTACTCAGGAGGCTGGGGCACAAGAATTGCTTGAACTCGGGAGGTGGAGGTTGCAGTGAGCCAAGATCATTCCATTGCACTCCAGCCTGGGGGACAGCTAGACTCTGTCTTCAAAAAAAAAAAAAAAAAGAAAAGCATAGTGAATGGGTGTAATCTACTGTATGATAAGAATGCTACAAACCGTTTAGTTGCCATCAATAAAAAGTGTACTTGTTTTGATCCTTCTGTAGTTGATAAGCTTGATGATTGGGTGTTCACACATGTGAGATACGCCACCCTTGAACCTTGTTAGGACATCAGCACATTACCCATCTGACACGAAAGCGAAAGAAAGAAAGAAAAGAATTTACTTGTTTTTAAAAAAATCCCAATACTAGCATTATCCAGAAATATGTAACAGGTTTATCTATAATTATTATAAAGTTGAACTGCGGAAACTTGTTCACTGAAACATTTTGATTTGCATTAATGCTTTACATCCCCCCATTTATATTAAAAATTCACACATGAATGAAAATAGAAAAACGGCCAATATGTGATTTCTGTCCCCTTTTTCCACTCACAATCATATATGTAGGTACCTTTTGACCCCATGGGAAAAAAATATGTAACATTTAGAACTATTAGGAATAAGAAGATAATTTTTTTTTTGGGGAGGGTGAGGGGAGAATGAAATTTCCCATCATAGTGGATTCTTCTTTTTTTTTTTTTTGAGACAGACTTTCACTCTTGTAGTCCCAGGCTGGAGTGCAGTGGTGTGACCTCAGCTCACTGCAACCTCCACCTCCCAGATTCCATTGATTCTCCTGTCTCAACCTCCCAAGTAGCTGCGATTACAGGCTTGAGCCACCATGCCCAATCCATTTTGGATTCTTAACCTTGCTCTCCACGTGTGCGTCATGCTAGCTGGATATCTTTCAGCACAATTGTTACATGTTTGGCATGGATAGATAGCACACGGATTGGTGTTTTCAAAAAGGCCAACCAGATAGGCCTCCCTTGCCTCCTGCAAAGCACCAATAGCTGCACTCTGGAAGCACAGATCTGTTTTAAAATCCTGAGCAATTTCTCTCACCAGATGCTGGAAGGGGAGTTTGTGAATCAATTCGGTGTACTTGTGGTAACGTCTAGTTTCCCGGAATGCCACAGTATCAGGCCTGAAACGGTAGATTTCTTCACTCCTCCAGTAGAAGATGCAGTCTTGCAAGCGGCATTTTGTAGCCAGAGGCTTCAACCCGGGAGGCAGAGGTTGCAATGAGCCAGGTGCTTTACCACCTGTGGATTTGTGAGCAGTCTCCTTTGTATTATACAAGCCATAGTATAGAGACCTCCTTACTTACCCACTTCTCCTTCTGCTGGAGTTATAGATGGTGCAGCGGCAGCTGCAGACACCATTCTTAAGTGCATCTTAACTGCTTACCTATACTAGATTCTGTTTGTCAATGATCTGTTCAACTCATCTGTTTTTTCTTGAATCTCTACCACACTCTTTGAATTATTATATCTTTATAATGTTTTAATATCTGACAAATCAAGCCTACCCCCCCCATCCCTTCGTCTTCCATTGTTTTTGTTTCTCAGCCATTCTCACCCATTTATTCTTACAGAAGATCTACAGAATTGCTTTCCCAGAGTCAAAACAAAACAAACCTCCTGGGATTTCTATTGAGTTTTTAAAAACTTACATATTTATTTAGGAAGAATTGGTATCTTCACAGTATTTAGACTTCCCATCCAGGATTGTTTCTTTTTCCAACCAGTACTATTTGTTTTTGTTTTCTGCTTTTTGGATTTTTTTTTTTTTTTTTTTTTGAGACAGTGTCTTGCTCTGTCGCCCAGGCTGGAGTGCAGTGGCGTGATCTTGGCTCACTGCAGCTCAAGGGATCCTCCCGCCTAAGCCGCCTGCGTAGCTGGGACTACAGGTGTACTCCACTGCACCTACCTAATTTTAAAATTTTTTTGTAGAGACAAGATTTCCCTATGTTGCCAGGCTGGTCTTGAACTCCTGGGCTCAACCAATCCTCCAGCCTCGACCTCTCAAAGTGTTAGGATTACAGGCATGGGCCACCGTGCCCAGCACCATTTATATATCTATTTTTATCTTTTGGTGAGGCGTTCTAATTTTCTAGATAGTAGGGTTTCTTAAAGTTACTTTTAGCGTTTTGTTCTTAGGTTCTTACGCCTCTTTTTTCATTTTATTTTGTTTCTGCATCATTTTGTTTATCCTGTGCTTTACATTAACACTGTCTTTTTTAGGTGCCATTGATTTTGTTACTTATTTTCTATTTAAGTGTGTAGCCTAGTTATTGTTGGGAGTTTGTAGTTCTTTTTCTTAATTATTTTTATTTTATTTTATTTTTATTTCTTGAGACAGAGTCTTGCTCTGTTGCCCAAACTGGAGTGCAGTGGTACGATACTGGCTCACTATAACCTCCACCTCTCAGGTTCAAGCGATTCTCCTGCATTAGCCTCCCGAGTAGCTGGGATTATAGGCACCCACCACCATGCCTGGCTAATTTTTGTATTTTTAGTAGAGATGGGGTTTTGCTATGTTGGCCAGGCTGGTCTCAAACTCCTGACCTTGTGATCCATCCACCTTGGCCTCCCAAAGTGATGGGATTACACGTGTGAGCCACCGCGCCCTGCTGGGAGTTTGTAGTTTTTATTATTGTCCTTGTTGTTAGGAAGGCTAATTTTTATTAGAAGATAGTGATTATTTAGCTAACAATTTTGTTTTCATCTACTGCTATAGCTACCTATAAGTTTGAGGTATGTTTTTACATGTTGTATTATTGCTATTATGGTTTTTGGTGAATCTCTTAATAGTTTTGATATTTATAATCTGGAATTTTAGAGGAATAATACAAAATAGAGATCAAAACACCACTTTTAACATTGAGAAAGCTGGGCCGGGCGCGGTGGCTCAAGCCTGTAATCCCAGCACTTTGGGAGGCCGAGACGGGCAGATCACGAGGTCAGGAGATCGAGACCATCCTGGCTAACACGGTGAAACCCTGTCTCTACTAAAAAAATACAAAAAACTAGCCGGGTGAGGTGGTGGGCACCTGTAGTCCCAGCTACTCGGGAGGCTGAGGCAGGAGAATGGCGTGAACCTGGGAGGCGGGGCTTGCAGTGAGCTGAGATCCGGCCACTGCACTCCAGCCTGGGGAACAGAGCCAGACTCCGTCTCAAAAAAAAAAAAAAAAACAAAAAAAAACATTGAGAAAGCTGATTGGAACATGCAGGTGATTAAAGAATGGCAGGTAGGTGTGGTACTTGGGCCATGGCCACCCCAGGTCCAGGCATTGAGGCTTGCTCAGCCCACCTTCACCAAGCTGACCTAGATCCCCATGGCAGAGAGCAGGCACAAGTGCTTGTTCTCTGCAGATAGACAGATATCAAACAGGAGGGGCTAAGACAAATGTGAGAAGAAGCGAGAAGCCAACAGTGTTGCTGTAGTGGAAGTCTCCTGCATGTGGAAACATGAAGAATGGGGAGTAAATGCCCCTCCCCACACATTCTCAAACCTGTTTAAATGGGAATGCCTATTGCATAAGAACTCTGATAAAACTGATAGAACTGCAGTTTGTACTAAGATGCTGTATTTTAAGATCTCTTAGGAAAAGAGGGTTTGAATTATTGAAAGTTAAAAGATTTTTCTGTAGTTCCATAATTTATATGTTGTATAGATTTCAGAGATTGCCTTTTGATGATGGTTTGATTTATTTCAGCAACGTGAAATCCTACATGAGATCCAGAGAAGGAAAGAAGAGATAAAAGAAGAGAAAAAAAGGAAAGAAATGGCTAAGCAGGTACCCTATCAACTCCAACATAATAAAATAATTTACATTTTGCAAAACAAAGTGTTTTTATTTCCACTGATGACATCTGTGTTACTATCAGTAATACAAAATAAAATGAAGCACTAAAAATAAATAAATATTCACCGTGTATTTCAGACTCCCCAAATAGGTGGCAAAATTTAGAGTTTTATGTTGTCAGTGGATGATTTAGACTTACATAATTACTATAATTTATCAAATGAGGGAGGGAAGAGATTGCAGCTTTAATAATTAACTTGGACTAAAATTGTTTCTTTTTGAGACAGAGTCTTGTTCTGTTACCCAGGCTGAAGTACAATGGCATGATCTCAGCTCACCGTAACCTCCACCTCCCAGGTTCAAGCAATTCTTGTGCCTCAGCCTTCCGAGTATTTGAGATTATAGGTGTGTGCCACTACGCCTGGCTAATTTTTGTATTTTTTAGCAGAGATGGGATTTCGCCATGTTGGCCAGGCTGGTCCTTAACTCCTGGCCTCAAGTGATCCACCCACCACCACGGCCTCCCAAAGTATTGGGATTACAGGTGTGCGCCACCACACCCGACCAAGAATTCTTAATACCTGGAAAATAAAATGATTTGTTGATACTGAAGAGGGAATAGAAACCATATGGAGCTGCCTGAAATTTCATTCAGTGGTGAAAAAGAGTTATTCAACAGAGCAGATTTAAAAGGCAGTGGTGAAAAAGGATAGAGTACTTTTTCCTTTATTTTTCCTGAGTCTAGCTCAAGCAAAAAACCAGTCAGACATGTTTGGAGAAATTCAGATAAAATGTTACTCATTCTCTTTTACATAATTATAGCATTAAACTTAAGGGACACAATGTGGTAGCAGGAGGCAGGAAGCTGAAGCACAAGCAAACTTCCCCTGGTTTAAAGCTTCAGCTTTTCTACTGCCTCGCTCTGTGACCTTGGCAAGGTGACATTCTCTGTGACTCACTTTACTTGTCCCTTAAAATGGGACTGATAATGCCTTTCTTTCTGTCTTGTATAATCACTTCCACAGACAAGTGTACTGCCCTATGTGAAACTAAACCTGCGTAGAAACGTAAGATGAGATCCCCGTTTCCACCAGTGCTCCTGTCTTGCGCCTGACCTGCCTTCCTATCAGCCACTCTCCACCTTCTCTTTGATTCCCCCTTCTTCTGTTCATCTCCTATTACTCTTCTCCCTAACTTTTTACACTATTGCAAGATTCTAAGCATTTTCATTTATAAAATTTACATTTTCTTGAAACCAAAACCTGGACTTCAGTTTTTGAGCCAGTACATTTTTAGGCATTAACGTTTTTTTAATTTTATTTTTTAATGACAAATAATAGTTGTATGTATTCATGGGGTATATAGTGACGTTTTGATACATGTAATGTATAGTGATCAGATCAGGGTAATTAGCACATCCATCATTGCAAACATTTATCATTTCTTTGTGTTGGAAACATTCAATGTCCTCCTTCTAGCTATTTTAAACTATTAAAAGTTGAGTTCAATTTTATTTCACTTGTAAACATTCAGCTTAAAATTTGCATTCTATGTTGAATTAATAATTATGTACCATGATTGTCTTCCATTTGTGACTTACATCTAAAGTAGGTTTTACTTTTCTTGTTCTAGGAACGTTTGGAAATTGCTAGTTTGTCAAACCAAGATCATACCTCTAAGAAGGACCCAGGAGGACACAGAACAGCTGCCGTTCTACATGGAGGCTCTCCTGACTTTGTAGGAAATGGTAAACATCGGGCAAATTCCTCAGGAAGGTCGAGGTAAGTCCCTGGGATTTCTGATCTGGGAGAATGAAAGATGTAGAAGGATTTCACTACATTAAAGATGTAGTGAAATTTGATGGAAATTTAAGGCGATAGTCTTAATAACTTTTTTAAACCTTATGTATCTTAATATATTAGCAATATATTGAGTATATTTTTAGCAATATGAAACAAAATTGCATTTAACACTTTCCAAGTATCTATCATGAATCTAGTTTTGTTGCTCATTCCCTTTTTTTTATTTTGAGACGGTGTCTCACTCTGTCACCCAGGCTGGAGTGCAATGGCGTGGTCTCAGCTCACTGCAACCTCTGCCTTCTGGGTTCAAGCGATTCTCCTGCCTCAGCCTCCCAAGTAGCTGGGACTACAGACATGTGCCACCACACCCGGCTAATTTTTGTATTTTTAGTAGAGTCAGGGTTTCACTATGTTGGCCAGGCTGGTCTTGAACTCCTGACCTCGTGATCCACCCGCCTCGGCTTCCCAAAGTGCTGGGATTACAGGAATGAGCCACTGCACCCAGCCTCATTCCCCTTTATAACAGCCTATAACCATCACAAACTTGCCTTAGTACGATTTGATTTAACATTTAATAACTTAAATTCAGTAAGTGATTTTAAAAATTTTCTTCCATTTGAATCATCATCATCCAGTGTTTCAGTCTACAACGCATTAGGTCCCACCACAGATGTAAGGAGTGCCTGAAAATGAGCACAGGTGGGACATCTGTTACGTGAGAGCAGGAACCCCAGTTGGTTACCAGGGGTCCCCTCCCTAGTACTGAGGTGGGCTCCTGGGCTGTTCCCTGTCACCACTGGTCACTTAAAAGATACTACTTGTTCTATATCTTTTTCACTGAAGAATTGTGACTTTGCTGTCTATTTGCTGTGGCCCCTGTAGACCAGAAAGGAATTTTAGTGCAGAAACCGTTTATGAGTGGGGTGGGTTACTAAATAGTGTGGGGACTTCAGCCTTCATTGTATGTTTAAATTATCTCTTGTGAGACTCTGAGCAGAACTTAAAATCACCACTTTGCTTCTATGAAAAGAAACATTTTAGGCACCAAACAAGATTTATATAAACTTCTGCATGGTTTGTTTATTAGAAGGAACCATTTTAGTTCTTTCCCTAATTATCTACTATTAAAAAAACAGTTCAGAAATCATTTTGACACTAATGTTTACCTACTATTAGGGTTAACTAAAGTTTTTTAAAATACTGTTTCTGGTAACCATTCCTTTTTAAGATTATAACTCCTTCCCAATTTAAATTATTTTTGAATCTGGGCATCCAATAAACAACAGAGTTTGAAGTTGTCAGAGAATTTCACTAGGAAATATCTAACAAATTTTTATTGTATTAGAACCCTTGAATTAAATCAATGATATAAATAAGTCTTTTCAGATACATGGAAAACGATTGTTTTAAGTTTAAACATTTCTATTTTTGTGGCTGACTATAAACAGTGAATCCAAGGTTAGGCTTGTTTTTGAGATCAAAGATAGCCTGCTGGGCATGGTGGCTCATATGTGTGATCCCAGCACTTTGGGAGGCTGGGGTTGGAGGATCACTTGAGCCCACGAGTTCAAGACCAGCCTGGGCAACAAAGCTCCTTCCCATTTCAGAGCCTCTGCTGACCCCTCTGCCGGGGCTACTCTCCCTCTGGCATTTTGCTTGGTGAGCTCCTTCTCATTCAGTTCTCCCCTCAAATGCGACCTTCTCAGGGATGCCTTCCTGAGCCCCCCTCTACCCTATTTCCCTACTTTGTCCCTTGCTCTCCAATTCTCTGTTTTATTTTTTACATAACACTTAGCACTTGCTGAAATTGTTATTCACTTGTTTGTTTTGGAATGCGAGGTCTGTGAGAGCAAAGCCCTTGTGTGTGTTTTCCTCAAAGCCTGAAACAGTGCCTGGAAGACACGTGGTAGATGCCTGGTAAACATCTGATGCAGGGAGGGAGTAAGGAAGGGAAGACGACACAGGGAAAGTGGGACACTGTGTTTCTGGCGTTTGTAGAGTCTACAGCCTCTTTAACCAGGGCAGTTTTGCTTCTCTTGATCTGTAGGGTATGTGAAAAACCAGTGAGGTTTTATTTAACAAAAGATTTTCACTGCTGAAAAGAAGAGAAAGAGAGAAAAGAAAACCACTCACTATTCTAGTGGAAAGAACGTAAAGGCCTGATACTCAAAGGCTTTTCACTGATGAGTCTTTGCCTTTGTTGAAGAACTTTATTTTCTATCCTTCAAGCCTTCTTTTCCCACCTTGAAGGATTCACTTTTTCGAATATTAAGGTAAAAATCAAAAAACATAAAATTAGCCATTTCAATGTGTACAGTTCAGTGTGAGGCTATATTTGTGAAGTGCAGACTTAGTCCCCCTAACCCCCTGCCTTGCTTCCGGGATGTTGCTCCTGAGAAGTGGGCAATTTGAATTTTGTAGAAGAAGCAAAACTAAAAACCAAAAAACCTCTATAAAATAGCTCATGGTAGAAAATTACCTTCACATATTCAGACTTGCTGTCTTTGCCAATTACCGTAGTGTAGCCCAGAATCTAGAATATATCACCTATTTATATCCACCATCAACAGGATTAGGTTATCTAGTTTGTTTTCCCTATTCTAAAGCCAGGTGTGGTAACTGCTGGCTCCTCATCCTTACAGAGAAGAGATCATTAAGGGCATAAGACATGGGATTGTCTCCGCTCTCCACAAAAAACTGGGGAACCATCGAAGTATAAAGATGTAGAGGAGAGGGGATCCTCGATATGTCTCTCCAGACATGGTCCTCTGTTGTTCAGTTTCTCTGGTTAGTTCCATGGAGGCACGGACTGGTTTACCTCAAATTAAACAATACCAGGAATTCTTACTAACATTGTCTCTACAAAGTGGCTCTGAGTTTCAAATTAAGGGACCTAGAGCTAGCATTTTCTGTGGCATCTTGGTGAGTTAGGCAGGAAGGTGAGACTATCCTTGCCCCTGTGTCTCAGATGAGATCCTCTTTCTCCATCCTGCCCCTTCATCTACACATTGATTGTATTGGTAGAGCAATCTTTTGAATGGTAGCCCAATTCTCAAGTCCCCACTTGAAAAATTGCCATCTCTCTTCTTGCCACTTGGTTTTAAAAAAAAAAAAAATTATCTTTTTTTCTTTTTTCAGGTATCAAGTTCCTAGCTGCCTAATTTAGTCATCTAAAATTGTATTATGTTTAATTCTCTGTTCTTTTTAAAGACCTAGATTAATACTATTTGGTAATTTTATTTGAAACACCCTTCATCCATATAGGTTGGGAACTGCCACAGTTACTTGGCAAAACTGATAACATGGGTGATATCTCTAATATTATATTGCAAACCTCATGAACATCCATAGTCTAGAATAGATCGTTGATGATGAGACCAGAGTCATAACTTCTGAACACCATTTGTTTGCATTGGAATGGCTGCTTCTGCTGGAGTACAGAAGCTGTTTTACTTAGGAATGGATTCAAATCCGAAAGGTTGTTCCAAACCCAGTTCTTGATGAGTCCCGAGTAGACAGTATAAGCATCCAATATATATGAATCTTTTTGGCGAAAACAATAGACATTGATGACATTGCACTTGTCTCTTTATTCCTTCTTTTCAAACTCTGTGATTTAGCTTTTTATCCTTCAGAATTGTTTCTGCTACAAACTATGCCATGGAGCATGTACCACATTTGTCCTTTTCTTACTTTCACTTTTAAGATTATGTCTACTTTTCCTTCAGTACTAATTATTCCTTAATCTTACAGCCATCAACACTCATTGTGTTTGTGCTTGAGTCATAATAGGATGATTCACATTCTAAAACACCTTAAAACCAAGCATTTACACATTGTAAACTAAAGAACAGAAAGATGGCCTAGACTAAAGTGACCATTAGCACCATCTGCTGAGGAGGCCAGAGCTGATGCAGAGATGCTTCTGCATAATTTATGTTACTAAGTCTGGCATGTAATTTTGAACCTTTCCTTTTATCCTTTTCTTCATAAATCTCAGTGTGTTCCTAGTTGCACATGTAACTTTAGAAGTAGAAATTCGAACAGAACTACAATGTATTTGTTATTTTTTGATGTTTAGAATATGCAGACATGGGTCAGGCGCAGTGGCTCACACCTGTAATCCCAGCACTTTGGGAGGCTGAGGCAGGCGGATCACGAGGTCAGGAGATTGAGACCATCCTGGCTAACACGGTGAAACCCCGTCTCTAGTAAAAATACAAAAAAATTAGCCGGGCGTGGTGGCGGGCACCTATAGTCCCAGCTACTCAGGAGGCTGAGGCAGAAGAATGGCGTGAACCCGGGAAGTGGAGCTTGCAGTGAGCCAAGATCGCACCACTGCACTCCAGCCTGGGTGACAGAGTGAGACTCCATCTCAAAAAAAAAAAAAAAGAATATGTGGACATATGTGTGGTGTAAGATATCTGTATCATAATACACAATCTTGTCACCAGTGTGGGAGGGTTTTGAGGAAAGAGAGGATGTGTAGGATTGGAAGCAGAAAGACCAGATAATAACAGAGTGTTGCATGTGTCCAGGAGAAAGTTGGAGATGAACTAAACAGGGCAGGGGAAACAGAGAGGAGAGGGTCGTACTTGAAGACCAATTCGATGCAGATCTAGGAGCCCACGGAGACTCACAGGTGACCTGTGAGACAGAATGGATGATTATGCCTCTAACCAAAATTAGAGAGCCGAGGGAAAATCAGGTTTAGAGCGAGTGGAGGGAGGTGGCAGTTTTACTGACATTGCAATTGTGTGAGGGGTAAATAGTGCAGAAGTGGAGACAGCAAGTGCAGGAGTGTGACTATGAGGGGTGACGGGGTGGGTGGTGCCGGGTTGACGGGTTGGGGGAGGGAGCCCAGAGAGAGGGGCTGATTGAACATACAGGAGAAATGGACTAACTAATAGACTAAGATCCCAGAGGAGACCTCTGTAGGGGATGGAACTGAGGACAGGAGTAGCCATCCTTCCTCAAAGTCACTCACAAAGAATGAATAGTGCCAATGCCAAGTAACTTTATAGGTGGAACAATAGAAATTGTGGACTGCATTCCTCATTGCATCATGTAATCAGTGAAAGTAAAAGTCAAAATCATGCTGAGAATGAGAGGGTGATCTCTCTAGAGATCCATCCATGCACTTCATCAAAGTGTTTCTGATAAGTGTTCAATCCTGACCATCAAGAGGTCTCTCCCTTACCTCTTCCCTGCACCCTCTCCCCTGATTATTTTTGCATTATGATCTAGTTTCTTAGCTATTGCTCCCCACCAGAAAAAAAGTACAAAAACAGAAAGAGAGGAGAGGTTGGGTTTTAAGTGTTTCGGAGAAGTCATGGAAGGGAATGATGGCAATATCTACCAAAGACAAGCAAGAGAAGGAATGTGCACTCAATGACTGGAGGCCCAGTTGGAAACCAGGAATTTGTGGCAGCTCCAACCCCCTCTGTTTTGCAGTTTTCTCCAGATGTGCATGTGCATGGGAATGAAGCAATGTGGGATACATGTGGAATTGATCTAAATCACTGCTGACCAGTAGAACTTTTTCTGATAATGGAAATGATCTGTATCTGTGCTGTCCAATATAGTTGCCACTAGCCATGTATGGCTATTGAGTACTTAAATGTGGCTACTGCACTTGAACTGAATTTTCAGTTTTATTTTAGTAGCCACAGCGTTGGGCAGCACAGACCTGGAATTAAGGGTTTGTGGTTTTCATGTGGAGAAGATGACGATGGGAAGTGGGGAAACGAATGCCTTTTTCATTAGCACCTCCTACTCAATTCCCAGTAGAAACAGATGTTAGACTGTGAGTGGGCTGATAAACAGTAACAACAAACAGGAGAAAACGGGGAGGCATTCTTGCCTATGTTAATCTATAACATTCCTATGTTCATCTTAAAGAAAAAAATGATTGTTCAAACGTATTGTTCGAATTTGTTTTTAAGGCGAGAACGACAGTATTCTGTATGTAATAGTGAAGATTCTCCTGGCTCTTGTGAAGTTCTGTATTTCAATATGGGGAGTCCTGATCAGCTCATGGTGCACAAAGGGAAATGTATTGGTAAGTAAACTAACAAAATCTATTTATATTATTGTAATGGCAAAAGTTAATCACGAAGGAATGGGATAGATTAGACACTATGGCATTCAGACCAGTGCAGTCCGAGGAAGACCATCAAGCTGGTAGTCATTCTGGCTCCCATCCTTAATGACTGGAATGAGAAGTCACTCAGGTTTCCCCTCATGTCAGATGGAAATAAAAACCTGTGTTTTTGGCTGGGTGCAGTGGCTCACGCCCATAATCCCAATACTTTGAGGGGCCGAGGTGGGAGGATTGCTTGAGCCGAGGAGTTCAAAGCTGCAGTGAGCCATGATCAAGCCACTGCACTCCAGTGTGAGTGACAGAATGAGACCCTGTCTCAATAAAATAAAATGAAATTTTAAAACTCGTGCTCTTGGAAATATTATTAACGTAAAGATAATTTTAAATCTGTCATTATAATTATCAAAGCTTATTGAAACAAAAACGTAATTAAAATGTTAGTAAGAATTTTGCATCATATACATCTAATGCTAATAAAATATGTGTAACAAAATGCATTCTAATGCCTATTACCTTTTTTGTTGTTGAGACAGGGTCTTGCTCCATCACCTAGGCTGGAGTGGTACAGTGGCACAATCATAGCTCACTGTAACCTCAAACTCCTAGGTTCACTCAATACTCCTGCCTCAGCCTCCTTAGTAGCTAGGACTACAGTAACGCCTGTGGTCTTTATTGACCAGATCTCATTTTCTTAGGTGGATATCCATCCATTTGGCTGTTTCCTGCCTGGCATGTTATACCTGACCAGGAAGACCACCTTATTTTCTATATGCCTTATTTAGAAGTTTTGTCTACTCATGGCTATTTGGAATGAAGCTGGTTCAGCAAATCAGAATTTGAATTGCTCATACTAAAGTCAAGTTTTTGATGTCTCTTCCTTTGCCCTAAATGTACGTCATCTTTACCTAGTCTTACAGATAAAACCAGTAATTGGTATAGAAATCATTTGTACATGGTGAATTTGTCAATTAACTTTAATTTTCAATCCCGTGAATATTTTTGCCAGAGGTAACAGGTAGCCAAATTATGTGAATTGAGTTTCTTTTGGCATCTTTTCCCCTTCGTCTTTAAGGTGATGCAAATAAGCAAAAGAGTTGCCAGGGAGGAGGCAGCAGGTGGAGGGAGAAGAAACCAAACTTCTCAATAATCTATGAGCTGGATATTTAACCTTGGCAGACAAACAGCAGCCTGGATAGTAGAGGATCCTGCACATACACAGAGTGGCCGTATTTAGACAAAGGAATCATTGGGCGGGTTGGAGACCTTGGTAGTGGTGGTTGGCTTTGGACCTGAGAGTGTCCTTGACTCAGACATTTCAGATTCACGAAGTGACAACATAGAACTCACTACTTCCAGTAACCTGGGGAAATCAGGAAGGCAAATTAATACAATTCTTCTTACCTTAACTTGGTCTCTTATTCTCACTAGTACTCATTAGACAGATTCACCATAGTTAATACCCTTATTAGGAGGCACATTTTCAGTTGGAGAATTTTTAATAAAATCACCAAGTAAATTATTTATTTTGTTTTCTCACAGTGGGTCTGATTTTTTAAATATGCCCTGTCTATGAAATGTTTTCATAACAGATTACTAATTTTTTATTTTCGGTGAAGTATTTTTATAAAAAACAGTATTTGTTTTTCATTTTAAAGTTGTTAGAACTAGAGAGAAGAGAGCACTTACTTATAGATGTGGCTGCAGCACTATAGAGACTGTCTGCGTGAACCATCATTGTGGGCACATCCCAGAGTTTGAGTTAGAGTTCTCTTGATAATGTATTTTCCCTTATCCTCATCACAGTATATTCTTTTGTCCCTTTTATAATCCCCACCGTGAAAAACTGACAAGAAGAGGCTGGCAATACTAAAATTATAATTTTTTAAACCCCAGCAACTATGAAATGCCTGCCTCATCCCAATTAGGGAAACAAATATTGCAAAACACTGTACTACATAACACACAAATTTAATTAGGCTTTATGGAAATAACTTCATACTCCATCCCATAAACATTTAATGCCATGTGTTTCTAGTAGACTGCTTAGATCCCACATTTCTTAGGTTGCTTCCTTTGGTTGACAGATTTTTAAACAGCAGGATTTTTCCCCTTAGGCAAAGACTGTCAGGAGTTATTTATGACTAACGTAATAGATCATTTTAATTAAAATCTCCAAATTATCAGTATTCCCATGAAATAAAAACTGCTTCTCAGGTAAGAAGTCAAAGTGAGCTAGTTTAGCCATATTTCTCCAAAGTATTTTTGCTGAGACATCTTTATCATATATACACAGGTTACTTCACTTTTGATTATTCAAATAGAAAAGATAAGTATTGGCCGGGCGCGGTGGCTCAAGCCTGTAATCCCAGCACTTTGGGAGGCGGAGACGGGCGGATCACGAGGTCAGGAGATCGAGACCTGGCGATCTGGTGAAACCCCGTCTCTACTAAAAAATACAAAAAACTAGCCGGGCGAGTTGGCGGGCGCCTGTAGTCCCAGCTACTCGGGAGACTGAGGCAGGAGAATGGCGTAAACCCGGGAGGCAGTGAGCTGAGATCCGGCCACTGCACTCCAGCCTGGGTGACAGAGCGAGACTCCATCTCAAAAAAAAAAAAAAAAAAAAAAAGAAAAGATAAGTATCAAGGTCTCTTTAAAAATTTGTTTTCATTAAGAAGATAGTATAGCATCATGGAAAACTATTACTTATGTAAGAGAAAAAGGCAGAATACCATGTATCAGGGGTTATCAGCTGGGGGCAGTTTTATAGCCTGGGGGACATTTGGTGATGTCTGCACACGTTTTTGATGGCTAACACTGGGGCCAGGGTGCTATTGGCATCTAGTGGGTAGATACCAGGATTGCTACTAAAATCCTACAGTGCACAAAACAGCTGCCTACAACAAAGATTACCTGGTCCAAAATGTCATAGTGTCAAGGTGCTACATATGTGCTATGATATGGTAAATTATGGGGTAAAGGAGAATAGAGGGAACTAAAAGAAAAATAAAACAAATGGTGATTTTTTTTCTCCTTTTCCAATTTTTTAGAATTTTCTATTATTGTTTTAATGAAAATAGAGATTTTTATAAGAAAATTTTTGGTGTTACAGAATTTAGCTCTCCCTGTGTGAGAACCATATGACTATCACTAAATAAATGTTTCTCATTTTCTAGCTTCAAATCTAAACTGACATCTCTTGTTCTTTCCTTCCAAAGCATTGACCAGTTTGTGTTTACTGAGCATATTCAAATTTTGCATTTAGAAAGTCATAGATGTATTCAGATTTTCAAATTACTGTTTTACTGCGCACACTAATCTACGTTGATCTCAATGACTTGTTCTCTATTTTCATATTCTTTCTGTCATTTTAGTTGGTATTTAGCTGTATGAGGGTACACCAGTAGACACAGTCAGCAAAGGTAAACTCGTTATGAAAATAACATTGTGCATAATGGCTAGTAGTATAAAACACTGGTCTCTTTTGTTTTTGAGACAGAGTCTTGCTCTTGTCGCCCAGGCTGCAGTGCAATGGTGTGATCGAGGCTCACTACAACCTCCACCTCCCAGGTTCAAGTGATTCTCGTGCTTCAGCCTCCCAAGTAGCTGAGACTCCAGGTGCCTGCCACCAAACCTGGCTAACGTTTTTGTATTTTTAGTAGCGAGGGAGTTTCACCATGTTGTCCAGGCTGATCTCGAACTCCTGACCTCAGGTGATCCATCTGCCTTGGCCTTCCAAAATGCTGGGATTACAGGTGTGAGCCACTGCACCTGGCCAAACATTGATTCTTTATTTGTCTGATACTAAGATCTCATTGTTGATTCTTGCCCCTTATAAAAAATTATTTTAGGACTCAGGGTATATTTCTAAATATCAAAAATTGTTTACAAAAGAGCATTATTACATAAAGTCATATTTTCCATAGTTAGCACATGGTATCCATTGATGAACTAAAGAATGTGTATTACCCCCTCCCTTCTTTCCCCCTACAGAAAACGTATCAATGGGATTTAATTATACTTTCTGTTTAATGTGCAGGCAGTGATGAACAACTTGGGAAATTAGTCTACAATGCTTTGGAAACAGCCACTGGCGGCTTTGTCTTGTTGTATGAATGGGTCCTTCAGTGGCAGAAAAAAATGGGTCCATTCCTTACCAGTCAAGAAAAAGAGAAGATTGATAAGTGCAAAAAGCAGGTAAGCATTCAAGGTGGCTGACTGAGCAAAAGGCCTATTCTCAGGCTTTAGGAGATGACAGAACAAAATAGCCCTGCGTTTGATTGTCCTGCAAAGATGATCCAGAGCAGTATGAGAACTGTTTGACCAGAGAACACCGTGAAGGACCAGTACCTCTTTGCCCCTTGCCTCTGGCTTCAGAACTTTCACAACATGGTCAAAGCACTTCTAGCTGCCTTCTTAACCTCCTTTCTCAGCCCTTAGTATGGCATTAACAGTCATCTTTCCAACTGGGACTAAATACTAGTGAAAAATTGGGTTTTTTTGCAATTCTTCTTTTCCCTATTCTTGAAATACTGCTTCAGGGCTGGGTGTGGTGACTCATACCTGTAATCCCAGCACTTTGGGAGGCCGAGGTAGGAGGACTACTTGAGCCCAGGAGTTTGAGACCAGCCTGGGCAACATGGTGAAACTCTGTCTCTACAAAAAATTTAAAAATTAGTGGGCATGGTGGCACATACTTGTGGTCCCAGCTACTTGGGAGGCTGAGGTGGGATAATTGCTTGAGCCCAGGAGGTTGGGGCTGCAGTGAGCTATGTTCATGCTACTGCACTGCAACCTGGGTGACAGAGCAAGACCCTGTCTCCAAAAAAAAAAAGAAAAGTACTACTTCAAAACTGAATTTTGGGGGACTGGAGGATTTTTAAGTTAATTTATAAATTAATGATTTATAACCAAGCATAAGGAGAACATTCACTATTGCATATTATAGTATTACGTAATAACAAGGTTTACAAAAATCATAGATAAAGCGTGGTGTTCAGAAATGTGTGTGTATTTAAGCATAGAAAGAAAACCGAAAGTAAATGTGACAAAATCTTGAGTTATCTTTGTGTGGTGACCAGATAGATAACATGTGGGTATTTTCTATCAAACTAATTTTTTAAATGTTGACAGTGATCTTTATTAAATCAGAAAAGATTTTTTGTTTTTCTATCTTCAACCTTAACCCCTCTTTGCCATGTGAGGTTCTGAGGATTAGGATGTGGACATCTTTGAGGAGCCGTTATTCTGCTGCTCAAATCATATACTGTATTTTTAAAAACCCAAATACAAAGCTAATCAGAAAAGGTTATTTTTAAATTAAAGTTTGTTTTTTTCTGGTGGCCATACCTCAAAAGAATTTTATTTTAAAAACTGTTCACTAATTTCGTAGTGTATGCATAGTAGGTTTTGAGATTAAAGAAGTTGAGAATTAACTAAATTTTTTCCATCTTTATGAACTATTAGGTTGACCATATGGTTTGGGGAGAATTCAGTTCAGGGCATATTTGTTCTCCTCTCATTTGAAAGTATATTTTCTATCAAATACTTCACTTTTGTCCACAATTTTTTTTTTTTTTTTTTTTTTTTTTTTTTTTTTTTTTTGCCTCCCTTATGTGATCAAATACTTCACTTTTGAAATGAAACCCAAGTTAATGTTGATTGGCCCAATATTATTCTTTTTTTTTTTTTAACTTATCAGATTCAAGGAACAGAAACAGAATTCAACTCACTGGTGAAATTGAGCCATCCAAATGTAGTACGCTACCTGGCAATGAATCTCAAAGAGCAAGACGACTCCATCGTGGTGGACATTTTAGTGGAGCACATTAGTGGGGTCTCTCTTGCTGCACACCTGAGCCACTCAGGCGCCATCCCTGTGCACCAGCTTCGCAGGTACACAGCTCAGCTCCTGTCAGGCCTTGATTATCTGCACAGCAATTCTGTGGTGCATAAGGTCCTGAGTGCATCTAATGTCTTGGTGGATGCAGAAGGCACCGTCAAGATTACGGACTATAGCATTTCTAAGCGCCTCGCAGACATTTGCAAGGAGGATGTGTTTGAGCAAACCCGAGTTCGTTTTAGTGACAATGCTCTGCCTTATAAAACGGGGAAGAAAGGAGATGTTTGGCGTCTTGGCCTCCTGCTGCTGTCCCTCAGCCAAGGACAGGAATGTGGAGAGTACCCTGTGACCATCTCTAGTGACTTACCAGCTGACTTTCAAGATTTTCTAAAGAAGTGAGTATCACTGAGATTCTCTCTAATAGCACTTTACTCCTGTACTTTTGATTGTGCTGGAGTGTGCCAGACATCTAAGTGATGTGGAAGCTGAAAAGTGAGGAACAGGACTTCATTCTTTGCTCTTCCAGTCCTGTCCTAGTCTTATATGTTCTGTTTTCTCACGTAGGTTTGTGATTCTCTTAACTACCACATTCTCTGAAATTCACTTGGAATTCACACTTGATTTTCAAATTCCTTTTGGGGGACTGCTGGTATACTCTTGGAAGTCAATAGAGATTGTTACGGTGAGAAATGCCCTAGGTGTTCCAAATACTGACCTTTGCTCTGGTTCCTAAAGGGTCAAAGACAAGGCTTCTTACTTCAGTAATAGCTTTGGGAGTGAGATTCTGCCCCTTGTGCTTCTTAACCATTCTTCATTGGCTGTCTCATTCATCTAAGTTGTAGAACCCAAATAAATTACTTACTCTAGCTAGAGAATTTTCAATGCTTGTAAATCACAGGTGCATGATTAATTACAAAGCCAAGTTTTATCCTGTTTGGGAGAACCTTTCTTGAGATGTTTCCTCAGGCCTAACATGTTTGTCCAGGTCCTTCACTTAAGTGTTTTCGAATTTAGTGCTGCCTCTGTTTTCAGTCCAAGCCACAGCTAAGTTCTCTCAGTTTCTGTTAATTGGGAGGTAAGATCCCTTCAGTCTGGATTTTTCCAGATGCTCCTCTTGTCCAGCTGTCCTGCAGGAGTTGACCTGGGCTGGTTTCTTCCATTTCTGACGCTCTTTGTTTTTTACCTTCTTTTTCCCAATCATTTGCTTTTATTCACTTCTTCCATTTGCAACATTTATTTTACCCTTCACATTTCTTTCCTATTCCATCTATCCCAGTAGCCAGTTGGCCTGGATTACACTGTTATGCCCTGTCACTGATGATCTTACCATTATAGATGTGAAAGTAGCTGCATTTGTGTTTGAATGAGATTGTTTTTGTGTAAAGTGAATATGAGAGATATATATATACACACACACATACACAGTTGTGGAAAGGGGCCAACTTTGATTCTTTGTTGGTTTTGCTCCTTAAAGTATATGAAAATATTAAGATTTCTAAAGAAATCTTTTATGGTATCTTTTTAATGCAATGGAACTTTAAAAATATTTATTTAAATGCACCCTAACAATAAGGTTGGCTAAAATGACAAATATGATGATAGAATCACAGATGGAAAGTTTCATTCCATCTTCAAAATGTCACCTTTAGTGTTATGCCTTCTTCATTGATGAAGAGTAATTTAGTCAAGGTTAGCAATAGCGTTATGTATTGTTATAAACAGCACTGGGAGGTTTAAGTAGAAGTACCTTTCCTTTCCTGTTTAGTAGCAAAATGAATGGGCTCGGTAGCTAAAACTTTCCTAGTTCTCTTCTTAAATAGCTTTACGCTCTGTCAGTTTCAAACTTGAGATCACACAATTTCTTATTCTTTTTTTTTTTTTTTTTTTTTTTTTTGAGATGGAGTCTCGCTGTGTCACCCAGGCTGGAGTGCAGTGGTGCAATCTTAGCTCACTGCAAGCTCCG